ATACAGCAAATGGTTCATGAAGCGTCCTTTTTCCCATCACTACCATGTACCATAAGTTCGCATCTCACTCGGAATTCAATGGAAGGGACGAATCATTGTTACTTGGTTCATTGTGTTATAAATCATTGCCAAACAGCTCACATGTTAAACATATCGTAATTGGTAGCTTGTCAGGATCGGCAAATGCTCAGGTTCAGGTTGTAGTGAGTCTGATTTGACGCCATACCAAATAGGCATACCTAATCTTTGTCTTTATTTTGAGACTGTTTGCAAAAACGGAAAATGTATGTCTGCAAACAGGGAAGGAAATTCTGTATTTGCATTTCATTTTGACACACTGTTTGTGATAGGCCTACTTATTTGTGACTTTCACTTGAAATTAAACATGTTAACCCCTTCATCAATAGCTTGGTGTATTGTGGCCTGGTGTGAAGCAGAATGCCGCTAACCAAGTTAGAGTCGATAAGTTTTGTATAGGCACACACTTTGAAGGGGTTTGTTCTGCTTATGTCTCGGCTAACTAAGAAAAAATAATAGAATAAATTAGAATGGGCGATGGTGGTGCAGGAGGGTTGCAGGTTCGGGCCCCGGGTCCTCCTGACCCCATCGAAGTGTCCTTGAGCAAGACACTGAACCCCAAATTGCTCCTGGTGAGCTGGTTGACGCCTTGCATGGCAGCCTCTGCCACCGGCGTGTGAATGTGAGTGTGGATGGGTGAATGTGAGGCATTACTGTGAAGCGCTTTGAGTGCTCGAAAGAGTAGCAAAAATGTGCTATATAAAAATGTGCTATATAAATGCAATCCATAGTCTATAGGGTTTGCAAACTGCCGTAACATTTTGGATGCAGTTAAGTTCAGAATGGAATATGGATTTGCCGTAAGATTTCTTGCGTGAGAGTCTGAGTTTGCAACCCTAAATACGTACATTTTTTTTGTTTCACCTGAATTGATTTGTATAGAAAATAACCGTGTACAGTTGTTAAAAAGCGGAAACTTCGACCAACATGAAATCACCAATAAACTACTTCTATGTATTCAACATTTTATAAAATGCATACTACGTTTAAAAATTTCCAGCTTTACGGTTTCAGGACAGAACAGCCACTCTGTTATGAACAGTACGGCTTTTGGAGTGTTGTTAGCTGCTGTTATTAACACTAATAACACATTAGCGCAAACAAAAGGGCTAAATACACCAAAGTAGTTCCTGCATTTGTTCATTGGCGTGGGAAAAGGCGGTTCTAGTGTCATTAGGGGGGTAATCAGCGTAACCTGCAAAATCGATATTTTTCCTTTTGCTTTAATTGTTTTCATTATTACTTTATTTAACTTGACACACCACATCTTTAAATTCTCATCCTTGCATTAGAATATAGACCAGTTAATATTGATGGCTAAAAGTATCGTCAGTGGATACATTCTGATATTGATTCAGGCCCTTTTATCTGTTTCCACAATTTTGGCTGAAATTGTATTAAGTGAACATTATTTTAAATTAATAAGTAACGTTGCGGGGATGGAGCTGGACCCACTAAAGGTGGTGTCGGAGAGGCGGATGTTGTCCAAGTTCAGGACAATACTGGACAATACCTCCCACCCACTCCATGACATGCTGGCCAGTCACAGGAGCTCGTTCATTGAGAGACTAAGATTACCCAAAGGCTCCACTGAACGACACAGGAAATCATTCCTGCCTGTGGTTCTCTCTCTGTACAACTGCTCCACCTAAGCACAGGTGTACACTGCAACAACTGCCTTGACACCCTATCACAGCTATTTGCAGTATTTTGTAATTTGTTGTATATTGTATTATTTAATATTGGTATTTTAACTTGTTCTACTTTATTACTGTCCTGGAGCAACTGTAGCCACATAATTTCATCAGGGATTAATAAAGTATTCTGAATCTGAATCTGAATCTGAATTCTGAATCTGAATCTGAATCTGAAAGTGTACCACAGATCGAGGGATGGGTAGAGCCACATTTGTATCCATTGATACAAAGTGTTTTTTGTGGTGAAGGATGGGTGTGGGGAGTCAACGCCCAACATCAAAACAATTCAGTTGGTGTAATTTACAATTAAAACACCAATAGAATTAGTTTCTTGTAAGTGAACTCTTTTTCAGACCCTGGTTACAGCCCTGACTGTGGGTTGAACGGGGATTTTCAGAGCTGCATGGTTTCTCAGTTTCAGGAAGGGGATGTACTCGACGTGGAAAAATAGACACTTAGGCTGACACTTAGGCTGTATAGTTCTGGTTTTATATTACAGTCATCGCGCGGTGATGTTAGTAACAGATGGACAGCCTCACACGTCCTGTGTACCGAGTGTGTCCGCACGCACACGCCTGGCCCATAGCCTGAAATACATTTCCTGGGGAATCCGGCAACCTTACCAATAAGCCCCCCCGGGGACTAAAGTAAGGTACAAGGGTTCTAGCCCTTAATCCCTGGTGTATGTGTCTCCCTTAGTTCCTTGTCTGCCACCTAAAGTTGCATTTGGCCACATATGCAGCGGACCGTGTGCAGGACACAAGGCTACCGCCAGTCATGCATTCGCTGATGCATCCTGTAATTATGGTTCAATGTCCTTTGCCATGACACGTGCCTCTCCGCTCTCCTGCCTAGTTCACCCAGAAACCGGATGTTTGAATCTGTGGCTTTGGCTTTTAAAGAGCAAAATGGCGGTACTGAAACCCGCTCAGACGTTCTCCACGTGTCCTACTGCGGTCCTGCCCATTCGTTTTTTTTCTTTTCCGTACGTTAGCCTGAAAGTGAGGCCGAATTTGCCTGTTGCATCATCTGATGATACATTCCAGTTTTCTGCAGCTGCAAGCAAACGCGGCGTGTGGAAGGTTTAATAACGACATCTTTCATTCTATCACCCGTCCCGCCTGCTAAGAAGTATAGAAATGCTCTTTCAGGAGTAAATGAATTCTCGTTGAGGGACAGGGGGCTTCCTCCGTTTTCTAAGGCTCATCCAGATGGTGGTGAAGATACTGTAAATATTTGTCGGGCTTTGTGGTCAAACAAGTGAGTTCCCCACGATTTTACTGCATCTTACTTCCTGCACGCTGTCACGTTAATGGTGTTAAATCTATAATATTGATTTCCTTGATCGATTTCTCATACTTTTTACTTTTATCTCCTCTCTCTTGGTTTTATCAGGCATGTGTAAATGTGAGTCGCTTCGCTAGCTGTGCCAGATACCTGTCTCACCCTCCAGGTTTCCTGTAACCTTTTGCACCCTATAGATCACTTGCCATGGCTGCGTTGGTGCAGGGCTCTGTAATTGGCGAGATAGATGTGTGAACGTTAGAAGCTGAGGATGGAAACTCAGAATACATGACTAGCATTAGTAAACCGGATGGATAGCTTTGTAACCTCTTTGATTTTGTAGTGGATAAGTGGATGGATGATGTGTGCGTTACATTGTGGGGACCAAATGTCCCTTCAACGTGATAAAAAAAACCTGCTTTTTTGACATTGTGGGGAACGTTGTTTTGGTCCCCACAAGAGAAAATTCATAAAAATCTGATTGCAATCAAAAAACTAAAAATTTCAAAACATATTTTGAAAGGAGCAGGTTTACCAGTCAACGACGGAATGGGTCGAGATGAGTTGTAGGGGGAGGCCTCTGTATGGCAGGGTCACTCACTCGCGCTGCATCCGAGGTCGAAATCGCCCGCGTATACGCCCTCTTTTATTCTGTTTGGTTATTCATGGTTAAGGTTAGGGCTGGGTATGGGTTAAGGTTGTCATTGTTGGGATTAGGGTTTTCCCCATAGAAATGAATGGACAGTCCCCACAAAAATTTATATACAAACGATGACAGATCCTGGGCTGGGACGTCCTGATTTGGTGGCATTATGAACCCGGTGCCAGTCACCGACTGGTTTAATCCGGGCCTCACTGGGTGACATTGGAGCGGTCTGTATGTCTCATCTTTGTACCTAATCTTTGTGCCAAATCAGCCTTAATGCTTATTTACTAAGAGCTTCAGGTCCAGATTCAGCAGTTGGTGTCGCCTGCGAATGTTGTTATTGGTCTTAATATTTTTTCATGCACACTATCGAAATGCTTACAATATACAAAACACTTGAAGAATGAATTTAAAAAAGGAATGAATAATCCCCTTGCTGAACCAGATTGGTACTATGTTCGCTGGCGCCGCCTGAAAAGAGCGCCCCCTCTTGGCCACTCACCCATCTTGCTGCTCTGATGCTCTTGTAGACATGGACCGTCCTTCCTGTTGAATTTGCTTTGTGTGTCCGGCATGTCAGGCCTTAATAGCCTCGGGTGAATTTTTGGGGAACAGGGTGTTTCCCCATCTGACGGGTGTAATGGCTTTCCTGTTCCTCAGAAGACATTTAAGACTCAGGTTTCTGATGTTACTGGGGATCCTTCCTGCCTGCTGCCATCTCCTCCCCCCAATGTGCCACCCCCCACCCCCAGCCGTAGCACGCCAAAACAGCATCTCATCTCTAAGACCGACTACACTGGAATCTTACTATGTCACTAATGCGCATGTTTACCACCTGTTCATTTGCAATGTTCCATTATCTTCTGCAGTATTCTGTCTGCACAGTGTTATTTGTGTGTTATGGTTACTGTCAAGTCACGCAAAGTTTGATTGTCATCTCATCCTTGCACAAGACAGAGTGAAATTAAATAACTTTCCTCTTGGACCCATAGCGCATCATTCACGAGAGAACAGAGATTACAGTCTTCGGAATGATGTGCATAGTAGGGATGCACCTGAATATATTATTCGGAAACACACAGATAATGTGCTGTAAACAGATATTTTTTCTATCCGAAGTTTCACGTCCTTATTCGGAACTGACTGGTATGCCTGATGGTGGTTTTCCACTGTGTTCTTGGTAATACCACTCGCTGAATCTGTCTTGCATCCCACCACTTGGAAAGTGAAAGCGTGGTGGTCCATTGGCATTCCGACAACGCCTGGAGCTCATTGTCCTTCCTCTGTCCTTCTAGAGAGTTGAAGATGAAAGCATGGAGAACTTCATGATGATGTCCCTCAAGACTGCGAAAAGTAAGACCTCTCTGCTGTGACTCCGCACACGTAAACGAAGGATGTTCTCTGAAACTGGTTGGAAACTGGTTGCCATGGTATGTAAGCTGTGCTCCTCTCATCCCCAGCATGGACCATTATAGTGCTTCCGCTGCTCCTCCTCATGCTCTCCTTCTACTGCTGCCACGTCCTGTTCCCGGGGTGAGCTGCCGCTCCACAGAGACGCCACCTGTTGGGCCAGAATGCAGGCAGGACCAACCTGGTTCACGGTCATGTAGGGGAACGGTGATGAAACTAATTCCATCTCTGGATTCGAGATCGGCGGGTTGTTTCGGGGCCCAGTTACAGTCGGTCGCTTTGACGCTCAGTCACCGTGGTCGTGGGTATGGCAGTCCCCGCCCCTTTAACTCTTGTGACTGTCATCTCACTTTCCTCGCAGCTACGGAATCACCAGCCAAACGCCAACCTCGGACAGAATCCTGTGTGACTTCTCGAGGAGATGGGACAGCCTAAGCTTCAAGTCAGTACCCCCTGCCCCCCCCCCCCACACACACACACACACACACACACAGCATTGAATAGCTTATTTAACCAGGGAGATCTTTTGCATAAAAGTATCGACCAAATGGAATTAAACACAGGTAGCGTTCCTCATGGATGCTTGTGTGTGATCAGCGCTGGATGGGGGAGGGGTGGGGGGGGGGTTTGTTATTTCGGTGCCCCTTCAGAAGATGGTGCCCCAGATGACCACCTATGAGATTGACCAACCCTGCGTGCGATGGACTTGTGATGCTTTTACAATGCAGGATGCACGACTGGAACGTTTATGAAATGTGCAGAATCAGCTGACCATGATGTTTTTCATCCGATGTTGAACACAGATACCGACAACACTTCCCTCTGTATATCTGGACTGTATGTGTATATCTGTATATCTAAAAACACCACACTCTCCTTGCAAACACAGCGTGAGCAGGAACAGGCGCCTCTTCCTGAGGCTGAACAACCTCTTCTGGAATCGGTACCCTTCCAGTTTTCCGCTTCCCTACGGCGTTAAGGATAGTGGTATGTTCCTGCTCTTTCCTGTGTTCACTGGCTGCTTCAGCAGACATGCTCTGTTGACATTTCACCCCAAAGAGTTTTCTGAGTCAGCAGTGGGTTTTAAATGTTCTCTAGTTGACAGTGATGCCCCTTGTGGAACAATGGTAAGTCTCACGTATGTTATATAGATTACCGATATCTGACCTCAGTGCAGGGGAATCAGGTTGTACCCTGTGCTTCTTGCAGAGATGCTTATCCTGAAGGTTCTGGCCATCATGTCCAACTACGACATGCCAGAGAGTGTCCAGAGGTGAGACAAAGACTCCTTGCAATCGCCTTTCCCACAGTGGATGAGCTTCTTGCAGGCCGTCATGGTATTCTCTGCAACGTCGAGGTCCGGCCTTCGTGGGAAATTAGGAAATGAGAAGAGGGCATTTCTCCGTCATGCTGTCTCACAGTCGGTGAAGCAGGCGACAGTTTACTCAGAAACTGTCTAGGCAGCAGCTTTCAGCCCCGGCTTCCTGATAGCACTCTCTTCACTTCCTGTGAAGACACACCAGATTATGACCCACGATGCACTGGCGTGTTCGAGAGCATGGCGTTCGCCGTTCTGCACGGGGGCGCTCCTACCTCAGTTTGGGGATTTACGCTTTTAATGCCACTCAGAGTTCTGAATTTGTTCAATCACTGGAGGAACTTTGAGCCCTTTTTTGAACAGAGAGCACCATCTAATGGGGTCCAAAATTACAGCAAAGGTTTTATGAAGTTTCATTAAGCTTCTGTTAGACATCCCTTAAGCATAAACTTTTAAGGGGTCTTTATGTTTTTCCTATGAAAAACTGGCTGTTAAGTTTGTGTTTGTTTTGGGTTATTTCTGCAGCCTGGACTGCAGGACCTGTGTCGTCGTCGGAAATGGGTTCACGGTCAAGAACAGCTCTCTAGGGGGCGCTATCAACAAGTATGATGTAGTGATCAGGTAATGCGGTGCAGTGGGTCCGCGCGGCTTCCAGCATTTGCCAGCCCTTCCTTGGCACTTTCCGGTACAGGCCGGTTTTGTAACAGATTTCCGCTGCAGTAAACCTTGTTCTCTGTCCTGATGAAATCTGCAGCACAGCGTTGCAAGTTGCATATGCCCCAGAAATACATTTTTTTAATTATTTTATTGGTTACTTTCTGGTGGTTCAGGCTGGCAGCCTTAAGGCTAATTCTATGCTTCAACAGGCCGTATTAGTGATCGTGACTCATTGATCACCTTGAAAGGCAGCCTGGACAGCTATTTAAAGGGAAGGCTGTTATTCTGTACGCAGAAGTCTGTGGTTAGACTATTTGCAGATAATGAGCCGAGTGGATTTTTTTTTCCTAAGACGGGGGTTAGAAAATGGCGAGACCTTTTTTTCCGCGTGCCTACGGCCAACAAATGTAGGGATCATCTGAATTTGTTCTGTTGCGTTTCTGACACGACTCCCAGGCTTAACAATGGCCCTGTGAGGGGGTATGAGGAAGACGTGGGGAACAAGACAACCATTCGCTTCTTCTATCCAGAATCGGCCTCCCCGGACCCCAGTGTGGACAACGAACCTGACACAGTCATGGTGCTGGTGCCTTTCAAGAAAGAAGACATACTCTGGTTAAAGGGGATCCTCTACGACGAAAAGAGGGTGCTGTGTCCCTTGGGCATGATTGCCGACCTTTATATACTTGATGGAGTTTAGCTAATCCTCAATAGATGAGACCATCTGGCATCAGTGATGCCTTCACGGTTCAGTTGAGCACGCCAGGGATTTCCTATCATGGTGAAATGCACCAGTTATTCCTAGTTGACCGCAGGACCTCAAGCACGTGTCTGACGCAGCCACCATTCTCTCCACAGGTTCAGAAGGGCTTTTGGAAACCGCCGCCCCAGTTCTGGTTTGGCAAGGCCAGTCAGATCCGCATCCTGGACCCGTTCTTCCTGCGCAGCACCGCCAAACACCTGCTGGACATCCCACTCAGTGTCGATCCCAAGAGCAAGCAGGTGAGGGCGGCACGGCGTCGGAGGGAGACATTTCGAAAGCGTCCGGAGGAGTCCATTACGCGTGTGCGGGGGTGTGCGTCACAAGGGCGTTTGTGTCCCTTCCTGTGCACACAGGCGGTACCGCAGCCCACGGTCCATCCTCAACTGAGGGGTTCAGAACCAGCAGAATGTGACTCTACACCAAAAATTAAGCTTATAATATTTTGCCCTGGGTGTTGTTCCACTGTAATCCAGTTAGGAGGAATCCATGAACAGCAGCAATTCTCTGTTGTCTCACTCAGATCTTGTGAAATATTGACTTTGTGTAGTAAATATATAGTATGAAATTCCATTGAAGGAAGAAAAAATACTGATTATTTAAACTTGATCCTTGACATTCAGAACTGTTCACAGCCATGGCTTAGAGTGCTGGTGCCTGCTGACCCCCTCCCAGTCGCTACAGGATCACCATCATGGGGGGTATTCATGACCATGCCCCCTCCCCTCTTTAATTTTAATCTCCCAGTCGCTACAGGATCACCATCATGGGGGGTATTCATGACCATGCCCACTCCCCTCTTTAATTTTAATTCAATTGTACTCTTTAGTAAAGATGCTTAAGGGATGTCTAACAGAAGCTTAATGAAACTTCATAAATCCCCCCCCCCAGTTTACCCCAATACCCTTCTCAGTAGGGGGAGCATAAGAACATCAGATAAGAGGAGGACGATCTGGAAGTATTTAGCACTTTTAACAACAAGTAGTGATTTGCAGTCTTTGTGAAGACAAAGTTTTGAGAGGTGGGAGCAGCATTTAGTGGAAAATCCCACGAAACAAAGTGCATGCAATTGTGCAAGAACGCAAGTCATATGAAAAAACAGTGACGTACAAATGAGGTGGATCAGTATTTTATGTATGTTTCTAGTAGCCTAATTCAAGATTTTTTGGCATACAGTTTTTCATCTGTATTTACTAGTCTAAAAATATTAATATATAAAGTATAAATATATGTAAATATGAATTTATTATGTTAACATTAAAGTAAAAAGAGCTCTTGTATCAGAATCTGTATTGTATCAGCAGTTGTGTATCGGAACTGAAATATTTGCAAACAGGGAAGGACGCCCTGTGTTAGTAATGGGCAAAATGATACTTATGAACCATTTGATGTATTTTTTGACTCCACTAGATGGTGCTGTCTGTTCAAAAAAGAGCTCAAAGCATTCCCCAAAGCAAGCCAAGAGCGCCATCTAGTGCGGTGAAAAAATACAGCAAATGGTTCATGAAGCTTCATTTGCCCATCACTACTGCATTTTGTTTTGACCACATTTTTTATTTTGTAAACATAAATATAGTTGTAAATATATTTTACTTTACTTTACTTTATGGTGAGAATCGGATGTTCTGTTGCTGAGAAATAGCTCATTATGTGTAAACAGGGCTTTTCCAAGAACATTAGGCTGACCAGTGTCTCTTTACAGCCCTGAACAGTGGTGGGAATACTGCACCATAACACTGAATTTCATGATTCTCAGTCATATACAAGAGTAATTATAACCTGCTGAAATCTGATTGGCTGTTGTCAGCCATGTTTGATGAGTAGGTGAACTTTTATTTAAGGATTAGTTGGGACATCTGGCCATGAACAAGTATACAATTTGTTTTTCTTTGTCCAGTGGTTTCTCAGTTTTAAAGAGTTTTGAGTTACAGATCATAAAGTGTAGAAACATGAAATTTGGTGGAGTGGTGCAGAATTCACCCCCCACCTACTCAGGCAAGCAAAACCATACCCATAAGAGCGACTTAATTTACACAGACGTGCATTGCGGTTGCATGTTAATCATTGTACTGATATGTTTCACGTCAGGGCATCCCGGTGCTGCTTGCTAAATTGCTTAAAGACTCACTAGTGTCTCTCCGCCTCCTGTTCGCAGAATCCTGTGCACCCTACCACTGGGATTCTGGCTGTGTTTGTGGCCCTGAATTACTGTGACGTGGTCCACCTCGTAGGCTTCGGGTATCCAAAGGCAGAGAATCAGGACCTGCCCATCCACTACTATGGAAAAGACACCATGAAATCCATGACCGTGAGTCTGCCACACTGCAGTTCATATTCCTGCACAGTTCACGTTCCTGCACAGTTCATGTTCCTGCACAGTTCACGTTCCTGCACAGTTCACGTTCCTGCACAGGTTCCTCTTTAGGAGTATTTAACTGCTTGTTGGATGGTTGCTTTTAGACTCTAAAATCTCCTCCATTCAGGATTTAGTTTAGAATACAGATCCGTCTGGCTGTTTGCTGGTCTTCACCCGAATCGCCTCTCGCTCACCCTTTGGTCGCTTTTGTTCTTCTGCCTTTGCAGGACTCGTACCACAATCTCACACACGAGGCGCAGGTTCTCAAGTGGCTGGAAGATTCCAGGGCCGTCGTGTCCCTGCATCCCCACCGATGACGAGGACAGCCCTTGACGACACCGCATCGCTTCAGTGTCGCTACGAAGGACGTTTCTGAAAGAGTTTTCTTCGCTAAATTACGAATGGGTGTAGGACTTTGTGTGGTTTCTCTGAAGCCGCCCCCCCCCCCCAAAAAGGGCAGACATCCCACTCCCAGGATATTATGGGATGCCTTCCTCTGATTATCACTGGTGAACTGGAGCTGCCATTGAACAAAAGCTATTCCTGGAAAAAACATTTCTAAAGGTACCCTACCAGATGGCAACCATGCTAAAGCTGGCAAAGTTGCAGTATTACAGAGTGACCACTAGAGGCAACCTAACATCTGAAGCGATGCCAAATATGAAGGGTGTTGGACCATGAGCCAGAGGGCAGTTCATGTCCTGATGTTCACCTAGTAAATGTCTTGTTCTGACACTGGAACATCTCAATACAAAATATTTTAACTGCCAAAACTGAGTGTGGGCCATCATTGGGACAAAGTGAAAACTGAACTTGAAGTTCAGATGTTAGACAGTAGGGGGCGAGATACCCATGAAAAGCTGGTGACATGCAAAAGTGAAATGCGTTCACTCAAATATGAACAGAAACGTGTATGTGTTACTAGAGTGTAGGAAAATTTTTTATTTTTTTTTCCCCCATTATACTTGAAACATTTTAAAAACTGACAATTTACAGCATATTTACACTTCATGATTCACCCGTTATCCTGGCATGCAAACTGAGTCGTGGAAAAACAAAGAAGGTTCATTTGTACAATTGGCACGTGGCTTCGATGGCGAGCTTCAGAGGTACAGAGGTCAAATTCACACAAAACATCCACAGGTAGAAGCGGACTCTTAACCTGATTACGGAGACACGCGGTGGCGAGCCAGTAGAGGGCGACAAATTCACAAGGATCACGGCACCGCCGGCTGGTGTCCCCACTGAGGATCGAGATTCAATTTTTTCAGAGGTTATCCCTGATGGATTGAGGCCCCTTTGAAACCCACACTATGTCTGTGGAGTCAATACCCATTTCTTCCAAAAGAGACCTCCTAGTGACTGTCACACTACAGTCGCTCAGCAATCACAGGCAGGCAGTTTCTGACACACTAAAAACAGCCCCCACAGCTGTTCAGACCCCCCCCCCCAAGAAACCATTTTGAACTAGAAATATCAGCAGTGTGACACGACTCATGCGCTCGGCTGTGGAGTGACGGTATCCTGGCACTTTGAGCCGGGCTGGGCTGCAGCACAGCCCCGGAGGCCGGGTCACACCGGGTCGGGTCGGGTGAGTTGATGGACAGGTGTGACTTTAGAGACGACAGGAAAGTCCAGGACAGGAAAACACACCCGGCAGCTCTGACACCAATGCGGGACCAAGTCCGGGACTTCAGAGGATGCGGATCGGGCCGGTGCCGTGATCCGACACACCGAGGGGAGTGTGGGTCAAAACGCTTTGACTACTGTCTGGAGATAACGGGGGGGGGCTCACTGAGCACATGAGCAGTGATGATAGGAAGAGCCCAAGTCAACAGGGAGAACATATTTAAACAAAGAAAAGAGAAAATTTAAAGTGAGATGCGTCATGATTCAACACAGGGGCCATGTGGAATCAAAGTGTTTCATAAAACAGGAATAAATACATAAATAGGGCTTAAATTAACAATTAGGATTCAGTCTCAGATTTTTTTTAAAAATCCAGCCATCCAAAGTATTAAAGTTAAGTCAGAAAAATACAGACAAGTGCAAAGGTGAGTATTGAGACTTAAAAAATAACTTAATCCCTTCTCTTAAACCGCAGAGAATCTTCTGTCTACAAATACTACAATTAACAGTCAGACGCTGACTCAGTGACGGACATCTGTGTCACCGTGACGCTGTTTCCTCACCATGTGGCGTTCCTGGGTCCACGGCGAGCGAAAGGGACCAAATTAAAACCTGATCCTAGCTCAAGCACAGAGGCAGGCTGTGGGCAGGACCCATAAGCAGGTTCTGCTGGGTAATCGCCGGTTAGCGTGAAGCTCGATGGAGAGGCACTGTTCATCTCCAAGCGGACCTCCTGAGGTCACACTTGCCCACTGTCACCTGGCAGCGTGACCCTTAGATCGCCATGGAAATGTGGCATTTGATGGTATCTGACTGTCAAAATCGGTTTGGGATAAGAGGGATTCCATCCATCCATTCATCCATCCAGGAATGACACGGTTAGCAAAACAATGTCATAAACAGGAAGGGTCAGTTCAGGCTAATGTCATGCAGAGGAGTCGGGGCCTGGCCCGCTCCTGATCCAAGCGGTCACCCCCCCGCCCCCCCCCACCAGTCCCATGACGGCGGGGGGGAGGGGGGCTGTCATGCGGTGGAGAGCTGCGTTGGCTTGAGCACGGGCAAATCCAGCAGGGCCTGCACGGTAATGCTGACCTTGACGAGGCCTCGCTCCTCCAGGATGTGGTGGGGCAGACACAGCTTATCCTGTTGGGGGGGGGGGGGGTTAACAACCGAACTGGCAAGGGGGAGGGGGGGCGGCACCCTAATCTCCAACTCTGTCGACATTACCTGCGGCACGCCCAGCTTCTTGCACGCATCCAGAAAGTTCTCTACGTTCCTGCGACACTTGGCCATGCTGAGCTTGGGCTGCAAACAGAAGGGGGGGGAGGGTGAGTCACACTGGCATCATGGGAGCCGCGTGTGAGCAGGAGACGGGGACTCACCACGGCGGGCGAGGGCACATGGATGCTGGCCACAGAGCGTGGCCGGATGTGATTGGCCAGGTGGCAGAGGACCACGCCGTCCATAAGGGCGGCGCCCACGTCGTCCGGCAGCAGCACCTTCAGCCGGGACTCCAGGTTCTTCGAGACACGAGAGACAAGTCACCCATATGGAGAAGCGGTGCTAAGCTAAAGCCGGCGGTCTTGGCTCGAGGGCGCCCCCTGCTGCCCACCTGCCGCAGCAGCAGGACTTGCTCCATCTCCTCGCGAAGGTGCTCCATCTTCCTGCGCATGGTGAAGCTTGGCTCACTGGTGGGGTACTCCTGCCGGCTGCCGCGGGAATACGCTGCAGCGACACGGCGAGATCCAACACTTCGTCATGTGCTCACCGAGGAGAGGGCAACGACCACAAGCCCCCCCCGGAGATGACCAAAACGGCCCTCCACTCACCTGATCTGGGCTTTAACCCGAACACAGTCATGGTGGAACTGAAATCGGACCGAACTCCTTCCTGTAACACAAGCGACCCGTTAATGTGGCAGCCTGATCCGCCCGTCCATCTGTCTTCCCACCGCGTGTCCGGTACGGGGCCGTCGAGCGCCGGCTGAGCTGGTTAGCTGTTAGACTTTGAGTAAAGCCAATCACACCCCAGGGTACCAGTATAAGGGCAAGTCAGTTTGATGCACATGGGTCATATATAGTGTCAGTGAAACATTTGGACACACCTACCCAAGGTTTATTACTATTCTTGTTCTTATGTTCTTATTCTCTACATTTCAGACCTCAGCACTGTAAAATAACATATATGTAATTACGCACTGAACAAAAAAAGTATTAAGCAGCTCTGTGGGTTGGGACTCAGTAGGTTGCTGGTTCAAATCCCGCAGTCAGCATACTGATGCAAAGACTGGGCTCTTCAGCGAGGCCCTTAACCCCAACTGGTCCAGGGACTGGCTGACCCTACTGTCTCCTCTACACCAGTTCCATGAGGCGGCCTCCTGGGATGCTTTTCCAGCCGTCCTGAAGGAGGCCCCACATATGAGCTCTCATTGGCCGCTTTTCCTTCACTCAAACTCCTCCAAAAGCATTTCGACTGTGTTTAGGTCAGGTGGCCAGGTCAAGTGATGTGACACTATCACTCTCCTTTGTAGGCGGTTTGGTGTGTCCAAACTTTTGACCGGCACTGTAGACACAGACAGACAGACTCCCACCTCGCCCTCACTGTCCTTGGCACTGGAGCTTCTTCTCGCGTTTTGGCACTTGTACTGAAACAGAGATGTGCAGTGAGGACTCATCCCAAACACAGTGCCCTCAGGCTATTAGCTTAATACTTAATACAGGCAGCGTAGCGGAGACAGTGTCAGCATGTTTCACTAGACTAAAGTAAATGAAGATATTAATCATCCTCTCCAAAGACGACAGGCAGACTGGCTCATGACCTAAATTCCACTGGCTGACTCAACACACCTCCTCCACACAAATGCAAACAGAAAGAGCGCCCCGTGTGGCCACTTCATGTAACAACACCTGTGCAGCAGACATACCCACCGGCCACAAGGACACGCCCACCGACCATCCACCCCCTGCTGAGTACCTTCAGATAGTCTTTCCTTAGGTATTTGTTCCGCCTCCGGTCGTCGCCCTGGTTCAGGATGGGCGGCACTTCAGGCCACTGCGGCTCGGAATCCGCTGCTTCCGGTTTCTGGGCCGATTCGCCGGAACCCGAAGCTGGGCCCTGCAGGACGTCAACCGGGCCACAGATGAGCTTCACAATCACTCACAGAACCGCTTCCATAATCACTGTTATAGGATAAAAGACAGGAACATACCTGTCCCCTGAGGGCGGAGCCAGCCTGGGTTCCCTCGTCCAATGAGAGGCTGTGAAACACAATGGTGAATAGGGGCCAAGTTTTTAAGAAAGACCGAAACGGCTGCTCATAGCAGATGAACAAACGGAGCATCTTAAACATGGAGGCACAGCCCCCCACCCCCAGGAAGCGGTGTAGTGTGGGGTGGAGTCCTACCTCCGGGCCGTCTGAGAGGCTGCTCTTTGTTTGCTGTTCGAGCTGCTCCCCGTGTGACTGAGGAATCTGGAGGGGCAGGGAGGCGCTTATCAGCAATGCTCACAGACGGGAAATCACTCACAGACACATACTCACTCAAAGACAGGAAATCACTCACAGACACATACTCACTCAAAGACAGGAAATCACTCACCGGCACGCTTACAGACAGGAAATCATTCACAGACAGGAAATCCCTCACAGATAGGAAATCGCGAACGGACCAGCATTCAGCCACAAACACGCTTTTACTCACAGACACACTTCCCATTGGCCTCAATACCACAAAACTCAAACCAAAGAACTAGAGATGCACCGGCTGCAATTTTCTAGGCTAGAAATTAGACCGATTTAATTAACAAAACAAATGCCAGTTACTTATACCATTTTCCAGTATGTTTAAATTCACCAAATAACACAATGTTGACCTTTTTCAAATTTTTTACTAGTCTTAAATTCCATAGATTCCATAGATCCATAGATTCCAAACCTCCAAATAAAAATGAAGTGTACTATACTCTTCCAAATAATGCAGGGTAATATTATTAACACCAACATCGCATGTTATGCACATACATTTCTTACATCGCTAGTAAGATAGATTAAGATCAGGCTTTTTCATACCATCACACTATACGGACATTATAGCGCAGGGGGTTAAAAGTTATTAAAACATTTTTACTCTCTCATGAGAAAAAAACCTTAGCTAGCTTTGCAATTTTAATGATTGTTCTTTTAGAAGATTATCTAGTACATGTTTAATAATCAGTTTAAAGTTCTCCTCCAACGTTTCATCACGTTTCCGTGGTGGTTCCCCCATGGTTTACTTTGGCTTTACATGTATTATGAACTGCAAGCTTTATGTCATATTCACTCACAGTGAAGAACTTCCATGCTAATGATATGTTAGTGTGTGACTGTGAGCGTGCACGCGGCTGTGAGCGACCACGCGGCTGTGAGGCTACTGCCTGCGCCGCTGCGCGTATGACATGCGGTTCATGCGTAAAACTGACCGGTGCGGTATTGGAAATACATGAGACTGATTGGTCGGTCTCCGGTCTGGGCCGAGCACGCTGATAATTGGCCAATTCCGGTCCCTGGCTGATCAATTGATGCATCTCTATAAAGAACTGACCTGAAAAATGCCCCCCCCCCACGATTTGACATGGGCAGTACCTGTGGGCTCGCCCCGGGGCCCGGCGTCGGTGGATCAGGCTCTCTGCCCTACAGATCAGTGACCTCCGCCTGAGTGCCCAATCAGAGCACCAGCAGAGCGACGGGGGCAGGGGGGAGATGGAAGGGAGAGGAGAGAAGGGGGCGACGCGTTAGTACGTAGGAAGAAAAGGAAGGGTTAACAAGATCCAGAGCAGGAGAGGGACAGCAGCAGTAAGGAGAGAGAGAGAGACAGACACTGAGGAGAGAGAGAGAGAGAGACACTGAGGAGAGAGAGACAGACAGACACTGAGGAGAGAGAGAGAGAGAGAGAGACAGTCAAACTGAAGAGAGATGGACACAAAGAATGACAGAGTGACGAAGAGTCAGGCAGAGACAGACACTGCGACAGACAGAAAGAGAGAGACAGACAGAGAGAGACAGATAGGCACAGGGAAAGACAGAGAGAGACAGATAGGCACAGGGAAAGACAGAGAGAGACAGAGAGGCACAGGGACAGACAGAGAGACAGCGAGGCACAGGGACAGACAGAGAGACAGCGAGGCACAGGGACAGACAGAGAGACAGAGAGGCACAGGGACAGACAGAGAGACAGCGAGGCACAGGGAAAGACAGAGATACTGAGGCACAGGGACATACAGGGAGACAGAGGGACAGACAGAGAGGCACAGGGACAGACAGAGAGACAGAGAGGCACAGGGACAGACAGGGAGACAGAGAGGCACAGGGACAGACAGAGAGACAGGGACATACAGGGAGACAGACTGAGACAGAGAGGCCACCTCACCTGTTCTGCTGCTCTTGCTGCAACAGCTGGACAGCGATCTTCCTCAGATCCAGGACTTCCTTGATCTCGTCGTCCTCTTCCTCAGCCAGGTGCCCTTTCTCTGAGCTACGGCAGAACGAAACCCATCAGGGCCCCCTGCAGAAAAGCTCATCCCGGCTGTGAGGTAATTTAGACCCGCAGGGGGGCGATCCTAGACAAACCCGGACCCCGATTCCTCCTTCCACGTGTCCGTCTCCTTGCCGTGGTGCGACTTGTTGAGGACAAGCTCAAGTTCCTGAAATACAATCAGTAAGAATGACATGAGGAGGGCAGGCCAATATGAAGTCCACCGGGTATTCGTGGAGCGCTTTTGTTATGGATAAGAGGCACGCACTTTTATGCAGGACACATAGGGGGCGCTCTGCTGCACGTCCCCCTCCGTCAGGGCTGCGTCTTCTTCCGGGTTGGGGTCTATGTAGTCGTAGGGTTCCTGATCTGCAGGGACAGCGGCGTTTGACCAAACAAACCCCCGTACAAGATCCCGTCTCCTCCAGAGTGACCCACCCGTATTAACACTCACTTAAATGTTCAGGAAAGCCATAAATCATCAAGCTAAAACCCTGGGTTCCTTTAACACCTTTAAGCTATTAGTGAAGTTGTCCCCAAACGAGCTTGATGGGCCGAATGGCCGCCTCTCGTCTGTAAGTTTCTTATGTTCTTGTGAGAAGCTGGTGACCGGTGCCACTTGCACCTTTGAGGCCCTCGGGCCGGCCGGCCGGTGGTTGGGTCTCGGCCCGGAGGTGCTCCCGCGCCGTTTCGGACACCTGGGAGTGAAGGCTCACTGTGTCGTCGTCGGAGGGCTGCGGGGAGACGGGCGGTTGGCGGTGAGGGGGCGTGGCTGCGGGACCCCGTGCCATGGGGTAGAGGCCACGCGGTTTGCCATACCTCCGTGGTGGACAGCCTCTTGTCCCCATTGTCGCTCCCGATCCCCGAATCAGCCCCGTGGCTCTTGCCCGGGTAAAAATCCTCCATGCTTAACGAGGATAATCCAAACGACACAATCAGGACTATAAATATTAAGTAACTATCAACCTCAGCCCCCCCCCCCCCAAAATTTTTGTGTGGGTTCAGAATTTCATAGCTCGTTGGCTTGTTAGCAGGACATGCTGCTTCAGCGTCTCATAAATAAGGAGCGTGTTTATTCGATATTTAGTGTAGTGACTATTTCTGGCCAACAGGGGGCCCCAAACATCAGGGACACCATGCAAATGCATGGTTTGAGTGGTGAAAATCACCGCTGCGTGTACAAGCGAAAGATGGTGGTACCTGTCTGTCAGAGGCTGGGGAAGGAGGCTCCGCTTCCCCAGGGACGGCAGGTCCAGGGAGTCCAGCTTTTTGTCCGTCCTGCAGGCTTGGATGTTCAGGTACTTGAACAGATGCACCATCCCCTTCAGGCAGACCTGGCGCGAGAAGAGACACCGAGCGCTCAGTGGAGTCTGGCCGCACTACCAGCTCTGTCCACAAGGTGGCGATGGCGCTCTGGTTGCGCGGGGCGCCCACCTGCGCAGGGGGAGACCGCAGGGGGTTGTTATCCAGGACGATGAGCTGCAGCTGCCTCAGCTTCCGGTAGGTGGGAGGGATCTCCGAGATCTTGTTGCAGGAGAAGTCGAGTTTGACGAGGGGCAGGTCGGCCAGCTCTGGGGGTAGGACAGGGGAGCGAGGGGGCAGTGAGGGGCAAACGGAGAGGTGGGCAGGGGGTACTGGCGGAGCAGTGGAGACCGAGGGGTAGCGCTCACCTTCGGGAAGCACTTCTAGACTGTTCTTCCGTACATTGAACTCCCGAAGGGCCTGAAGCTTTCCCATCTGGGGGGGAAGCGCCTGGATCTCATTACAGCTAATATCCTGGGGAGGGGGGGGCAGCCCGTCAGAAGCGCCCACGTGAGCCGGTATGCACCATGTGCCCCCACAGTCCCCCCCCCCCTGCTCCCCAGCTCCATGAGGTCCTTGCACCGACCGATTTCCTCTGGGATGGACACCAGCTTGTTGTTGCTGACCACCAGCACCTTGAGCGGCAGGTTGAACAGGAACTTGGGCAGCGTGGAGAGGAGGTTCCGGCTGAGGAGGATCCGGGGAGAACCGGCAGGAGGTCAGTACGGCGCGAGGACTGCCGCGGCTCTAAAACCGCCGTCCGCCGCAGAACCCAACAGCGGCATGGCGACGACAGTCACAGACATCCCATGACGAGTCTGAACGCGCATGAGTGTGGGGAACCGGCCGAGCTCCCTGAGGGGCTGCTTGACCCCCGCCAGGATGTGGAGGTCACAGCTCCCCCTACAGGTCTGACAGATGTCACACAGGCAAGATGCTTTGCCTTATTTCCATAAAAAAACAACACGGCAGGCCATGCAAATGCTGAATCGACATCAGGACCCCAGACGGACCCGGGTCGCAGTGCTGACCCAGACGGACCTGGGCCACAGTACTGGCCCAGACACCGAGGGCCGTGAGATTTCAACCCCTAGCAATCATACCCAGTGTGACAGGAGTCAGCCAGGGACCCATTAATCATTAATCAGACTAGAACCTAATGGACCTGGTTCTAAAGAGGACCTGGATGGAGATCCTGACCTGACGTTCAGGTAGGTGAGCATCTGCAGGTTGATGATGCCTTCCGGGACGCTCTTGATGCAGTTATGATAAAGGTTGAGGGATTCCAGAGGAGCGAAGTGGCACACTTCCGGGGGGACCTCCGTCAGCCGGTTCCTCGAGAGGTCTGGGACAAACAGGCACAGGGGTCTCCATGGAGTGACTCATGCAGAGAGAGTGACAGTGACGGACACAGCTGCCGCCTCACGTTGTCGCCCTCACAGCTGAAACGGACGATACGGTAATGACCCGCGTGGCTCGGGGCTTCACAGGGCAGCGGCAAGAGGCTTCCAGCGAATTCCAACCCCCCTCCCCCACCCCCCGAGTCTGCCCGTCTGCCCCCATGAGTCGTCCTGGAGAGCAACAGACACACCGACACACATGTGTGACAAACCACGATCAGTCCGTGCTGTAAACTAAATACTGATGTGTGAAGTGGATTCCTTCAGCAGCTCCCGATCACTTCCTGTCGTTGATTTGGGAATGCTGGGAATTCCGGCAATGTAAACCTTCCTCTCCCAAGCCCCTTTCCCAGGCTCATCCCACACAGCCGTCGAGCGCTCCCGGGAAGAACTACGCCTCCCGTCGCCGCCTTTGGAGAAGCGCTGAGCAGCACTGTCAGAGCTACTGTGGGGGGGGGAGGGGCAAGCAAGCTGACACACGCATGCACACGTATGCACACACAAGCACACATATGCATGCATGCACACGTATGCACACACAAGCACACATATGCATGCATGCACACGTATGCACACGCAAGCACACATATGCATGCATGCACACGTATGCACACACGAGCACACATATGCATGCATGCACACGTATGCACACATGCACGCACACAGCCTACGTGTTCTCAGCCACGGTCTGATTTTAGACCCTTCAGTCAGGTCACAGACGTAAAGCGGAGTGTAACAGGTAGTGCAGGGTTCCCACAGTGGTAACACCCAGCCTGGCTAACAGAAATCACCACCATCTCTATTTGCTGTCTCATTGCCATGGTAACCGAGCTCCTGCTCAGTCCCGCTGGACACTTCAGGTCTCGACGCCGGCCCTGTGCATGACACTGGCAGCGTCCCCCGACTGAATCTCAGCAGATTACACCCCCCCCCCCGCTGGAATCCCACCGGGACTCTGCAGGCCTGGCACATGCCAGCACCAGCAGCGAGAGGAGGACGAGGCATAGGAGAGACGGCAGACGACTCGAACCTGTGGCTCCATAAACAGCAACATCTGCGGCTTCATCGTCTGTCAGTCAGTCACACTGTCACCAGTATCACAGTGTCTGTCACAATCGCAGATAATCAGCGATTCATTTCAGTCCCTCTCTCTCCGATGGTGGGATGATGTCACTCCACCAGCCGTCTGTCAGACCCTCCGAGGCGCCGCAGGACCTCGCCCTCAGACACCGGCCAGTCGCTGAGCCACGAGCGAGAGGAGCCTGTCCGACACACCGCCTGTGCCACGGCGCTCTGCTCCCACGCGAACCGGGCCTAGGCAAACCCGGAACTCTGCTTGTGCTCAAAAACCCAAAACGAGGTCAAGCAGATTAAATATGGAGCACAGAGCAGAAGGTGCATTACAGGTTCTGCTTGTAGCCCATCGCCTGAAGGTCCTCACCTTCTGCCTCCTTCTCAGGCTCACCTGCGGGCACGAAGCCGAGTTCTGGTACCAGCAGGGTACAGCAGGTGGCGCAGAGGTCGAAGAACCGCTGTAACACATACGGGGAGACTGCTAAAGCAAGCTGCCCCCGTCAGTGTGAAGGAACTGGCTAATCTAGAAAGGCATGAGAGCTAATCGAACCTGGAGCCAGAGACGTGTTGCCCTGGAAACAGCGCAGAGGATGCTAGCGCCAGGACCGCCGGCCTCATCAACCCCATTACCATGGACATGGAGCAGAGGCGGCATGCTTGGTAGGAAGGTGCAGACCGCGTTTTAGGGGCAGGCATCACTGTCCGACCGCAGATCGAAGATGACTGTTCAGACATCACTAGCTGACCACAGAGCATTAAGGGTGAAGTGTATATGAGGAAATGACAGCATCTGCCTGCTCATCCCCACACTGTCACTGAGACGTGTGCTACCCCTGCTGTAAATTAATAACAATTATTTATTGTTAATTTATTAGTAATGATTTATACTGTGCTTTTTGAAACCCAAAGATACGCAACCACACAGAATACGCCGTGAGAGTAACAAACACGAACAGACATACATACAGAGAGACAGAAGGACAGACACTGATAAGCAACATGGGCGTGTAGAGAAGATCTAAGCATGATGAGCAGGGAGGGGTCAGGGTGGAGATGGCAGAGTGGGGGGGAGCTGGAAAGATTGGGAGAACGGGCAGGTCTGAAGATGGGATTTGAAGATGGAGATAGAGGGGGAAATACAGGTGTTAGAGCGAAATTCCACAGACAGGGGGCAGCATAGAGAAACTTAATACAGATATCTGGAGTTTATGACCGCGCCGATGATGACAGCCACCCCCCATTACTGAGCGCGCTCTGTCCACCGTCTGGCCAAAGTGTACCCAAGCCCGCGATGTTTTCCCAGCGTTAGCAAACCGGCGCTCGAGGATTTCCTCTGCACTTCCTTCCCGTGCTGATGGCTGCCCTTCAGCCCCCAGGCTCCAGAACACGGCGTCCTTTCATTAGTCAGACGAGGAGGGGTGGGGATCACGGGTACCAAGCACAGGATGGGGAGGGGTCGATTCTCTTGGGGGGGATTTAAGGGTTGATTTCGGCCTTTCAAATTTTCTGGATGCTTAGTGACTAAAAAAATCCAGGCCTCGGGCCAAAACCAGGCCTTTGGGCTGTGCGAGAGCAGACAGGAACAGTGGGGACATAACCCCAGTGCGGTCGGCGCAGGAAGCAGGGTGTCACAGGCCCACACACCGAGCGGGGGGGGGTTTTCAGGCCGTGTGACCGTGGCGTGACCAGGGAGGAG